GCCAGGCGTTGAGGGCGGGAGCTGGAGAAGTCTTGTATGAGCGAATGCTCAATTGCTCCGTCGGCGACATATTTCGCAGAAGAACCCCGTACGCCATCAGGGACTCGTTGTAGTACTTGGTTTTTGCATCGTCAGTGTCCTCCGTAGGTCCCGAGTAGCTCCCGTCGAAGTAATGATAAATCTGCGCGTTTTGCAGCAGCAGCTCCAGCTCGAAGCTCCAGGTGTAAAAGTCTCTGCCGTCAAAGCACACACTTGTCTTTATTTTTTATATGCTCAAAAATCTTGATTGCGCAGAGAGAATTGCTTCATCGCTGGGACAGGGAGTCTTGGGTGTTGAGCCATTTGTGTCAAGAGAGAAGCCTTGCGGGGAGGAGTTCTGGCCGTTTGAGGCCGGTTGAGTAGGTTGGGAAGAAGTTCCCGCATCGCCATACCGCAATGTCTGGAGCCCTTGCTCCAGGCTCGTGAGTCGCTGAAGCAGTTGTGCGAGGACGGCGGAAGGAATCGTCGTCGTTTCCTCGTTTGTCGCAGCCGGGTTGGGCTGCACTTCAGCCGTCAGATTCGTCTGACCTCCAGATCCTCCGGCCATTCTTACACGTGATCGTGTGCCGGACGCCACTTTCCGAATGTCGCAGATTTCGGAGATGGCGGTGCGAAGGATTCCTGAGTCGCTCTCATACCATGCTGCGATCAGAAGTTGATCGTAACCAGGATCACCTCAGGTAGGTTCGCACACTTCTAATCTAGTGGTGGTGGGCCCTTGACCTCAATAGCAGAGTGAATGTAAATGCTTGAGATGATAAAAACATGCAATACAAAGGATATAAATAAGAGTACAAGGGAATTCGAAACGACCTAGCTAGCCATGTACTCTAAGGGGTACATTCCCTTATTACAGCGAAAAACAACCGTGCGACTCCAGACAGTTACGAAACTGTTCGGGCAGAATCCTCGTCACTGCTGCTGCTTGATGCTGTCTGCCCGACGGTCCAGATGCTCTTCGTAACCGTGTGACCCTTCGTGTCACTTGCGCCCTTTCATCTTCAGTCTCGGTAGTGCGTGCTTTGGTTGCTGCGGTGAGGAGTGCTCAATAGTGTTTTTCAATAATCACTATTCGTAACAAGACACGCCCTACCTTGATGTGACCATTCTCATCATTTGTTGGTTCTAATATTCATGAGCACCACATTTCACAGCCACCTATCCGGCCGGGCACAACCAGGCCAAACATTCGTGTAGCAGTTGACATACTTGTGCTGATGCTGATGCTGATGCTGATGCTGATGCGCTGATGCTGATGCTGATGCGCTGATGCTGATGCTGATGCTGATGCTGATGCGCTGATGCGGATGCTGATGCTGATGCTGATGCTGATGCTTCTGCGGATGCTGATGCTGATGCTGATGCTGATGCTGATGCTGATGCGCTCATGCTGATGCTGATGCGCATGCTGATGCTGATGCGCTGATGCTGATGCGCTGATGCTGATGCTGATGCTGATGCTGATGCTGATGCTGATGCTGATGCTGATGCGTTGATGCTGATGCTGATGCTGATGCGCTGATGCTGATGCTGATACGGATGCTGATGCGGATGCTGATGCTGATGCTGATGCGCTGATGCTGATGCTGATGCTGATGCTGATGCTTCTGCGGATGCTGATGCTGATGCTGATGCTGATGCTGATGCTGATGCTGATGTGCTGATGCTGATCCTGATGCTGATGCTGATGCTGATGCTGATGCGCTGATGCTGATGCTGATGCTGATGCTGATGTGCTGATGCTGATGCTGATGCTGATGCTGATGCTGATGCTGATGCTGATGTTGATGTGCTGATGCTGATGCTGATGCTGATGCGCTGATGCTGATGCTGAAGCTGATGCGCTGATGCTGATGCTGATGCTGATGCTGATGCTGATGCTGATGTGCTGATGCTGATGCTGATGCTGATGCTGATGCTGATGCTGATGCTGATGCTGATGCTGATGCTGATGCGCTGATGCTGATGCTGATGCTGATGCTGATGCTGATGCTGATGCTAATGCGCTGATGCTGATGCTGACGCTGATGCTGATGCTGATGCTGATGCTGATGCTGATGCGCTGATGCTGATGCTGATGCTGATGCTGATGCTGATGCGCTGATGCTGATGCGCTGATGCTGATGCTGATGCTGATGCTGATGCTGATGCGCTGATGCGGATGCTGATGCTGATGCGCTGATGCTGATGCTGATGCGGATGCTGATGCGGATGCTGATGCTGATGCTGATGCGCTGATGCTGATGCTGATGCTGATGCTTCTGCGGATGCTGATGCTGATGCTGATGCTGATGCTGATGCTGATGCGCTGATGCTGATCCTGATGCTGATGCTGATGCTGATGCTGATGCGCTGATGCTGATGCTGATGCTGATGCTGATGTGCTGATGCTGATGCTGATGCTGATGCTGATGCTGATGCTGATGCTGATGTTGATGTGCTGATGCTGATGCTGATGCTGATGCGCTGATGCTGATGCTGAAGCTGATGCGCTGATGCTGATGCTGATGCTGATGCTGATGCTGATGTGCTGATGCTGATGCTGATGCTGATGCTGATGCTGATGCTGATGCTGATGCTGATGCGCTGATGCTGATGCTGATGCTGATGCTGATGCTGATGCTGATGCTGATGCTGATGCTGATGCTAATGCGCTGATGCTGATGCTGACGCTGATGCTGATGCTGATGCTGATGCTGATGCTGATGCTGATGCGCTGATGCTGATGCTGATGCTGATGCTGATGCTGATGCGCTGATGCTGATGCTGATGCTGATGCGCTGATGCTGATGCTGATGCTGATGCGGATGCTGATGCTGATGCTGATGCGCTGATGCTGATGCTGATGCTGATGCTGATGCTTCTGCGGATGCTGATGCTGATGCTGATGCTGATGCTGATGCGCTGATGCTGATGCTGATGCTGATGCTGATGCGCTGATGCTGATGCTGAACCTGATGCTGAACCTGATGCTGAACCTGATGCTGAACCTGATGCTGAACCTGATGCTGAACCTGATGCTGAACCTGATGCTGAACCTGATGCTGAACCTGATGCTGATGCTGAACCTGATGCTGAACCTGATGTTGAACCTGATGCTGAACCTGATGCTGAACCTGATGCTGAACCTGATGCTGAACCTGATGCTGAACCTGATGCTGAACCTGATGCTGAACCTGATGCTGAACCTGATGCTTAACCTGATGCTGAACGTGACGCTGAACCTGACGCTGAACCTGATGCTGAACCTGATGCTGAACCCGATGCTGAACCCGATGCTGAACCTGATGCTGAACCTGATGCTGAACCTGAACCTGATGCTGAACCTGATGCTGAACCTGATGCTGAACCTGATGCTGAACCTGATGCTGAACCTGATGCTGAACCTGAACCTGATGCTGAACCTGATGCTGAACCTGATGCTGAACCTGATGCTGAACCTGATGCTGAACCTGATGCTGAACCTGATGCTGAACCTGATGCTGAACCCGATGCTGAACCCGATGCTGAACCTGATGCTGAACCTGATGCTGAACCTGAACCTGATGCTGAACCTGATGCTGAACCTGATGCTGAACCTGATGCTGAACCTGATGCTGAACCTGAACCTGATGCTGAACCTGATGCTGAACCTGATGCTGAACCTGATGCTGAACCTGATGCTGAACCTGATGCTGATGCTGATGCTGATGCTGATGGTTCAGAAGCATACCACAAGCGTGTAGGAGCAATGATCACCACCACCGACTGCAGATGAGCTCACCTCGAGCAATGATCGCCATGAATGACAGCGCAGGGGCTCACCTCGGGACTACCATCACCAACAGAGCCAGGGCTCACCTCGGGACTACCATCACCGACAGAGCCAGGGCTCACCTCGGGATCATCCCCAAAGCCGTACATCATGAGCCGCACTGCATGCACAAAAGACACAACACAGAGCAGTTCGGATGGGTGGACGCAAGGAGCACATGGGAGCACATGGGAGAAGAATGAAGGAGTGAGTACGCTCAATGAAACTGCATGTAGGGTGAACAGTGACGGCGGATGGAATGATTCATGAAACGTGCAAGCTCAATCTCCCTTCCGCTTTCTCCCATCCCTTATCCTCCCTGCTCCTACTTCCCCCCACTCCTTCGATCCCCCACCCTTCTCCTATTCAATACTTCTCCCCCTATTCCTTCTCCCTCACTACTTCTCCGCCCCACTCACGTTCTCTCAGGAAGATTCCCGCCTTCTTCTTCGACCCGCCCAACTCCTCCGCCGGATGGAAAGATGCATGCAACGTGCAATCTCAACCTCCTTTCCGCCTTCTCCCAACAGTTCTCTTTCCCATTTCCCCCGCCGCACTCACGTTCTCGCAGGAAGATTCCCGCCTTTTTCTTCGACCCGCTAAACTCCTCCGCCGCCGCTTTCCCCTTCGCCCGCCCCGCTCCCCCGCCTCCGCCAGAAGGTCCCTCCGCGCCCTCATTCCCCTGCATGCCCGCGGGCGCGCGGAGCACGCGGACGCGCAAGGCGGAAGCTCGGAACAGGCGGAAGCTCAGCGCAAGGAAAGGCTCAGCACAACGTGGCGGGAAGCGCGCAGCAGCAGAGGTCTTAGCCGCACCAGCAAGAAATGGTGGGCGCGCGGCAGGGATGCAACCAGAGGATGTACTAGAAGGGAATTTTAATCGATGAGGGCAGGGCGCGGCGGAATAATGCTCGAGAATAGCGGACGTTTGGAGGGTTACAGCAGTAAGCGCAGTCGCGACGCGACACGCAGCGAATAGAAATTTTCTGTATGGAAGCAAATGCGCGAAGTTCCGTACTTCTAGAGTGTTCGCCAATTCACGTAACATATTTTACCTACATGGTTTTCCTACACTAATGATTCACTCATCTTATTTTGCCTACACCCCTTTCGGCACCAACGACATGCTTCTATCATCAACAGGTGCAATAATTTGAGATATGTTACATAATCATATCAATTTCACTGTTCCCATCAGCTTTATCGGCTGAGAAAAGGGCACACGAGTAGCCTCCCCACGCTCCAGCGCACTCGGCAGGTCCAACGATTGCACGGCCTTTGCCCCCTCCGCTTGCCATAGCTGCTCACATGGGTGTCACAAAAAACAGTAAATGTTGAGATAGGGAATGTGTAGGGAAGGGACCACATCGGGGGGGGAATTGGTGTACAAGAAACAAGGAAACACATACACACACCGCCCAAGCTCACGCTGCTTACAGTGATATGCGCACATGGATTGAGCGAGCGAACTGCCTCCCCCTCAACCCCTCCCCTCAACTCCACGGCGAGAGCAGCCACGTGGTGATCAAACAGCAGAGCCGTTGCCAGCACCATCACATACTCATACACCCCAAGTACCTGCACACCCCACATGCCCGCACACCCCATACGGCCACACTACTTACAGTGATGTGTGCAAAATCGTTTAAGGAGCGAACCGGCTCCCCCTCCTCCGCACCTGCCCCTCCCCTCAGCTCCACCGCGAGTGCAGCCACGTGTTGACCACACAGCAGGGCCATCGCCAGCAAGATTACAGACCACACATTCCACACACATGCCCGCACACATGCCCACACACCCCACATCCCCATATGCGCCACTGGATTGTGCGAGCGCCCTGGCTCCCCATCCGCCCCTCCCCTGAGCTCCACTTGGAGTGCAGCCACGTGGCGATCAAACAGCAGCGCCGTTGCCAGCACTGTCACTGCACGCCCCTCCATGGGAGCATAGCTCACCACTGCTGGGACACCATGCTCCTTCTTGTGTGCCAGAGTCACATGCAGCCACCCCAACCCCCTGCTCGTGCAACCAGCAGCACCAGCAGCAGCACCAGGAGTAGCACCAGCATCAGCAGAACCAGCAGCACCAGCAGCAGCAGCACCACTGCTACCCACGTCCAGTTTCTTTCTCAAAGGCCCTTCTGCCGTTTTCCAGAACTCTGCCACCCGCGAATCAAATCTCGCCAGCTCCTCCAACGTCCGCAACAGCTTTCACCCGCTCGTTGCCACGTCAGCGCCGCCCGGCGCCACGTCAGCGCCGCCCGGCGCCACGTCAGCAGCGGGATCAATCACCACCGCTGCCAGTTGGATGCTGCGGAAGCTCGTCTTGGCAGCGACCACTGGCGGATTTTTCCTGTAGCGATCTGGTGTAGCTGGTTTTGGACTGTAGCGGCCACTTGTTCCAAAGGGACTTGGATGGATGTGAGGTAGGGGGCATGCTTGTGCAGCACCGCTCTCAACTCCCCCTCCCACTCCAACACCTCGTCTGCCATTGGCGTTTTCAGAGGCTTCTTGCTGCAGCAAGCCATGGGGGACGGGTGAGGATGCGAGGGGTAGAGATGTGAGGGATGAGAGGGGTGAGGGGGATGAGGGAGAGGAGAGTAAGGATTGTGGGGCGAAACAAGTGAGGCACGACAAGTGGAGGGGTTGGGAGGACCGGTAGTGTGAAAGCAAGACCAAGAGCAAGCTAAAGTCCAGAACATGACATTCCAGGCAAAAGGAAACATAAGTTCTTCTAAAATGATGTGCTCCTGCCTTATGCCACAGCGGCCTTCCACCCTCCCTGCCAAACACCCGCACCGCACCTTTTGTGTCGCTTCCATATCTTCTCCCGCAGCTTGTGCCCTGACTTGATGACACCAGCTATTTCTTCTGGTAGTGGCGGGCTGGCACAGGAAGGGAGAAGAGAGCGGAAAAGGCAGTGCAAAGAGGAGATGGAAATCAGAGAGCATGAAAGGAGAATGGGCTCTGGGGAAGGTGGTGGTGGTGGAGGGTTTGGAGGGGATCCAGGGCAGAAACGCAGAGCAGGTCATTCAGGCACAAGCTCACAATGACATAGTTAATCATGATTCCAATTGACCACAGGCACTCACGAGTCAGGCTTGACAACAGGCATGGTCACGAGCACACCAAAGCGCTGCTTCAGTTCCGCCTCAAAATCCTCCCGGTTCTGATGCAGTCAAAGGCAGGGGATGCATGGGTAGGGTCACACGCACGCGTACGAGGCAAAGCGCACAGTGCTAAGCTCGTGGGGCATGGCATGGTCACAATCACGCCAAACCGCTGCTTCAGCTCCGCCTCAAAATCCTCCCGGTTCTGACGCAGTGAGGTGCAGGGGTGGGTGGACAGGTGGAGCGATGAGTGATTGCAAGGTGATGTTGAGGGCAGTGTGGGCGGACGGAATGCAAATGAGTCAACGCGCATGGGTGGGACAAAGCACGTGGGACAAAGCACGTGGGACAAAGCACGTGGGACCAAGCACGTGGGACGATGCTCCCAGGACGGTGCTCCCAGGACGATGCTCCCAGGACGGTGCTCCCAGGACGATGCTCCCAGGACATAGCATGGCAAGGGAAAGGAGGCAGCACACGGGGCAGGGTGGGTTGGGACGCACATGTCTGCCGTAGAGTGAATGAAAGTTAAGCACCACTTGCCCCGGAGCTGGTGAGCTGGCATCCAGATCACCCTGAGATGAGATGGGGGAGGAGGAAGAAAAAGTGGGACAATGGGGAAGAGGGACGAATAGTGAGGGGCGGAAGTGGGAGTAACTGTAAACGCTGACCCACCATGGCCTGTTTCAAAGCAAGGTGGAATGGGAATTTCCGTCGAGCTGAATTCGTTGTGTTGATTGCCTACAGGCCTAAACGACAGACATAGACCAAGGTTCTTGTGAGGAGGTTTGGAACGGCGAAGGGGTCTCACAGGGTGGTTGGTTTTTGCGTTTAATCACGCGGAACAGGAACACAGCCAGCACTCGCCAGTCGAAGGGGTTGTGCTGTGTGCCTGCACGGTGCAGCGCGGTGCAGGAGGGTGGGATAGGGGAAAGGGCTCTGCCAAGTGACGACAGGGTTAGCATCTCTGGAAGGTTGAATTGCAGCAAGCTTCAGGCTTCAGAAAATCAGAAACACGGACCTTACAAAATGGAAGGAACACGAAACCTGGATACATCAGTTTTAATCTCCGCCTCCCTCTGCCCTCCCTAATTCACCAGCTCTCCTCCCTCCACACACTCTCCACCACCTTCAGCACACACCCATGCTTTCCTCCCTCAACCCCCCGTATCACCCTCCCCCGGACAGCGTACCTAGCGAGACAGGCACAACAGGCACGCCTATCAGCCCTGCGTCTATCTGGCAGATGGCTTCTATCTGGATGGCACACGGAGGTGTGGGGATGGAGTGTGAGAAACAGGGGGGTAACTTGGACGGCAAACACCGGTTTGGGGGGTGAGAGCTACAGGGGGGAAAACATGCAATGGTGTGATTTAAACACGACTTGAAACCCAATAGCCCTGTGCCGTGGCACATGGCTTCTATCTGGCTGCCAAACACGGGTTCGGAAAGGGGGTGAGAGCAACAGCGGGAAAACCTGAGCGGATGCAGTTGTGAGACTTCTTAAATGCCGGCAGTCCTGTGCCATGGCAAATGGCCTCTATTTGGATGTCGGCAGTCAACAAGTGTGCTCACAGGATGAGCACATGAGCATGAAAACATGTGGGCAGAGTAAGCAAGTGCACATGGGCATGTGAGGATGAGAGCACATACCTGGTCCCACACGTCCTCGTTGGGGGCGTTCTTATGGTGTTGAACTGCCAGGGCTCACCTACCTGGTCATGTGAGGATGAGAGCACATGAGGGCACATACCTGGTCCCACACGTCCTCGTTGGGGGCGTTCTTATGGTGTTGAACTGCCAGGGCTCACCTACCTGGTCATGTGAGGATGAGAGCACATGAGGGCACATACCTGGTCCCACACGTCCTCGTTGGGGGCGTTCTTATGGTGTTGAACTGCCAGGGCTCACCTACCTGGTCATGTGAGGATGAGAGCACATGAGGGCACATACCTGGTCCCACACGTCCTCGTTGGGGGCGTTCTTATGGTGTTGAACTGCCAGGGCTCACCTACCTGGTCATGTGAGGATGAGAGCACATGAGGGCACATACCTGGTCCCACACGTCCTCGTTGGGGGCGTTCTTATGGTGTTGAACTGCCAGGGCTCACCTACCTGGTCATGTGAGGATGAGAGCACATGAGGGCACATACCTGGTCCCACACGTCCTCGTTGGGGCCGTTCTTATGGTGTTGAACTGCCAGGGCTCACCTACCTGGTCATGTGAGGATGAGAGCACATGAGGGCACATACCTGGTCCCACACGTCCTCGTTGGGGGCGTTCTTATGGTGTTGAACTGCCAGGGCTCACCTACCTGGGCATGTGAGGATGAGAGCACATGAGGGCACATACCTGGTCCCACACGTCCTCGTTGGGGGCGTTCTTATGGTGTTGAACTGCCAGGGCTCACCTACCTGGGCATGTGAGGATGAGAGCACATGAGGGCACATACCTGGTCCCACACGTCCTCGTTGGGGGCGTTCTTATGGTGTTAAACTGCCAGGGCTCACCTACCTGGTCATGTGAGGATGAGAGCACATGAGGGCACATACCTGGTCCCACACGTCCTCGTTGGGGGCGTTCTTATGGTGTTGAACTGCCAGGGCTCACCTACCTGGTCATGTGAGGATGAGAGCACATGAGGGCACATACCTGGTCCCACACGTCCTCGTTGGGGGCGTTCTTATGGTGTTGAACTGCCAGGGCTCACCTACCTGGTCATGTGAGGATGAGAGCACATGAGGGCACATACCTGGTCCCACACGTCCTCGTTGGGGGCGTTCTTATGGTGTTGAACTGCCAGGGCTCACCTACCTGGTCATGTGAGGATGAGAGCACATGAGGGCACATACCTGGTCCCACACGTCCTCGTTGGGGGCGTTCTTATGGTGTTGAACTGCCAGGGCTCACCTACCTGGTCATGTGAGGATGAGAGCACATGAGGGCACATACCTGGTCCCACACGTCCTCGTTGGGGGCGTTCTTATGGTGTTGAACTGCCAGGGCTCACCTACCTGGTCATGTGAGGATGAGAGCACATGAGGGCACATACCTGGTCCCACACGTCCTCGTTGGGGGCGTTCTTATGGTGTTGAACTGCCAGGGCTCACCTACCTGGTCATGTGAGGATGAGAGCACATGAGGGCACATACCTGGTCCCACACGTCCTCGTTGGGGGCGTTCTTATGGTGTTGAACTGCCAGGGCTCACCTACCTGGTCATGTGAGGATGAGAGCACATGAGGGCACATACCTGGTCCCACACGTCCTCGTTGGGGGCGTTCTTATGGTGTTGAACTGCCAGGGCTCACCTACCTGGTCATGTGAGGATGAGAGCACATGAGGGCACATACCTGGTCCCACACGTCCTCGTTGGGGGCGTTCTTATGGTGTTGAACTGCCAGGGCTCACCTACCTGGGCATGTGAGGATGAGAGCACATGAGGGCACATACCTGGTCCCACACGTCCTCGTTGGGGGCGTTCTTATGGTGTTGAACTGCCAGGGCTCACCTACCTGGGCATGTGAGGATGAGAGCACATGAGGGCACATACCTGGTCCCACACGTCCTCGTTGGGGGCGTTCTTATGGTGTTAAACTGCCAGGGCTCACCTACCTGGTCATGTGAGGATGAGAGCACATGAGGGCACATACCTGGTCCCACACGTCCTCGTTGGGGGCGTTCTTATGGTGTTGAACTGCCAGGGCTCACCTACCTGGTCATGTGAGGATGAGAGCACATGAGGGCACATACCTGGTCCCACACGTCCTCGTTGGGGCCGTTCTTATGGTGTTGAACTGCCAGGGCTCACCTACCTGGTCATGTGAGGATGAGAGCACATGAGGGCACATACCTGGTCCCACACGTCCTCGTTGGGGGCGTTCTTATCCGCCAGCACGTTCACACTCGCCCCCTCTCCTTCCTCATGCGCGCCCCCAACACCTTCCAGTACCTGCCTGCATAGTGGGGACAGGTGGAAAGCGGGTGGGACACGATACGATGCAGTGGGATGCGGTGGGATGGGGTGGGATGAGGTGGGAGGGACAGCGAGCAAGAAAGAGATGAGTATGGCATGGAAAGTCGAGTGGGAAAACCAGATGGCTAAAGCAGGGGGAGGATGTTTTATGATGGTTTATGCATTTTTATGATGTGCCACGACGTGCAATGGTGTGCCATGATGTGCCATAATGTACCATGCAACAATGCACGCACCGATCGTTTTGTCACCCATTATATGCACGCATTCCCTCCCATCGCCCAACGGCCCTCCACCCTCCTGCACCTCCCCTCTTCCCTCCCCTTCCTCCCTGCTTCCTCCCCTACCCCCTGTCGCTCTCTCCCCTCTCCTTCCGCCCTCTTCTCCTCCACCTCCCCCTCCCGGCCCCCTTCCTCTCTCCCCGCCACCTCTCCCGCCCTTCTTCCCCTTGCCCTTCCCTCTCGTCACCTCCTGCCACCCCTCCTCCTCCTCTGCCGCCCCTGCCTCTGCTCCAGACACAGGGGACCCTTGGTGGTCTCATCCAGGCAACGAAGATGTTCCATCCCTGCAGCCTCCTTCCTGCCCCTCACGAACCTCCTCCACCCCTCCCGCTCGCACTGCACCGCTCTGCCTACCTCCCTGCAAAGCTGACTCGCCCTCCTTGGCGGAACAGGCGCCTGTTCCGCCGAATCAACCCCCCCACCGGCTCTCCCTGCATGTACAGCTGAATCACCATTCCCCCCACTGCCTCGACCCATCTGCATGAGGGCTTCTGAGAGAGCAGACTTGGCACACCCAGGTAACCCCGGAAAGAACACCAACAGCCCCTTGCTCTGCTCGCCCCTCCCCTCCCCTCCCCCTGCCGCCCCCTCACTCTCTCCTCCCCCCGCGTCCCCTCACTCCCCACCCCTCTCCTCTCCTCATCCCCCTCCGCTGCTCCCCCCTCCCATGCGGCCCCCACTGCCTTGGCCTGTGCTGCTCCTCTCTTGGCATAGGCAGCAAGAAAGGGCTCGGCATAATCGAGGTACGAGTTGGATGAAACGGATTTGGGCGGGCGGGGGGAGGCAGGGGGGCCCAACACATAAACCGCCCTGGGAGGGGGGGGGATGGGAGCGGATTGCAGGGGGGATGGGGGAGAAGGGAGGAGCCGGGGAGAACATGGGGGAATGGAGCACAGAGAAAGAGGGGTGGAAGGGAGGTGGGTGGGCAGCAAGGAAAGGTACGGCATAGTGGAGGTAGGATTGGATGAGATGGCCTTGCGGGACCGGGAGGACGAGGGAAGCGGAGCCAGTTGAAGGAGCGCTGGTGTGAGGCAGGAGAGATTGAAAGGAGAGAGGGCCGGGGAGGCAGGCGGGAAGACAGACAGATCACAGATCCTGCCTCCGCATGCCCAGATCACAGGGCTTAGTAAGGCGCGGAAGGGTTGAGTGAGATGGCAAGGAGAGTCGGGAACAAGAAGACGGTACAGCGCGGAAGAGAGACACTTGGGCAAGAAGGGGCAGGATGGAGCATGCGGCACGGCACGCACCATGCTTGGCAGAGTGCGGTCATCTCGTGAGTCGCAGCTGGTGATGTGCCCCACACCCTGAGCAACCTGCTCAGCTCACACAAACAGCGCCCAGTGAGCATGGGGGGAATGGGGGGGAGGGGAGGTTAGGTGTACGTGTTTGAGCAGACTACAACAATTCTCGAGTGGCAGCTGGTGACGTGCCCCACACCTTGAGCAACCTGCTCAGCTCACACAAACAGCGCCAGGTGAGCATGGGGGGGAGCGGAGGTTAGGTGTACGTGTTTGAGCAGACTACAACAATTCTCGAGTGGCAGCTGGTGACGTGCCCCACACCTTGAGCAACCTGCTCAGCTCACACAAACAGCGCCAGGTGAGCATGGGGGGGAGCGGAGGTTAGGTGTACGTGTTTGAGCAGACTACAACAATTCTCGAGTGGCAGCTGGTGACGTGCCCCACACCTTGAGCAACCTGCTCGGACACAAAGTGCCCAGTGCACAGTGAGCATGGAGCGGATGGGGGAGAGAGGAGAGCAGGTGACAAGCTGGAGAGTGGGGAGGGAGCAGGTTGCTGTACAAACTTGAAGTGATTCTGTTCAAAAAAACAAAAAGGGTAAACGGATGAGGGAAGCACAAGGCGAAACGCAACCCACGCACATCCCACATGCAACCCATGCATGCCCCCAGGCTCACCTGGCAGCATACGCCATGTACTCATCGCGCCCCTTCTTCAGCAGCGTGCCGAGCCCGTTGCGAATGAGGAACGTCCTCAGCTTGTACGGAAGAAACTTCATCTTCAGCATCACATGCGGCACCTCCATCCTATCCCCGCCCTCGCCCTTCCCACCCTCCTCCGCCTCCTCCTCCTCCCTGCCCTTGCCCTCCGCATTCTCCTCCTGTCTCAGGTCCTTGGCCTTCTCCTTTCGCCCGCTTCCCACTTAATCATCATCATCACCAGCAGCAGTATCAGCATCAGCCCTTGCAGTAACCGACTGCTTCCCCGTGCCCTTGTCCACCTCCACAACCGCAGCTTCCAGGAAGAATCCCCGGTACAGCGGCCATAGCCCAGGCCCCAGGGTCCTTGCTGGAGGCATGGCAGGTGTGACGGTGGCGGGTGGGTGAGGGCGGGTGTGAGAGTAGAGTAGGGGGTGAGGGCAGGCAAGAGGGTGAGGGTGAGAGTGAGAGTGCGGAGAGGGGATGGGAAGGATGTGCAGGACAGCTAGATGAATGGATAGGAGCACGTTGGTGGACAAATAATGGTCTACGTGGGTTTCAGGTATAGAGAAGACGATTTGAGATTTTAAAAATCTCACCACTCACCGCATCTCACCGCTTCCCACCAAATCACATTGCGTCACGCCGCATCTCACCACATATCACCGCATCTCACCGCATCAGTTGCTGGTATCTGCGAAAGGCTGCGTCCTGGAAGGCATGTACGGTAATTCTGGTGAGAGAGGGGCGCTGAGGAACGGCTGGTGTGGTGAGGGCGAGGAGGAAGAAGTGGTGGAGGAAGACGAGGAGGCGGAGGAGGCGGAGGAGGTGGAGGAGGCGGTGGCGGTGGCGGTGGCGGTGGCGGTGGCAGTGGAGGTGGCGGTGGAGGTGGCGGTGGCGGTGGCGGTGGCGGTGGCGGTGGCGGTGGCGGTGGCGGTGGAGGTGGCGGTGGAGGTGGCGGTGGCGGTGGCGGTGGCGGTGGCGGTGGCGGAGGCGGTGGCGGTGGCGGTGGCGGTGGCGGTGGCGGTGGCGGTGGCGGTGGCGGTGGCGGTGGCCGTGGAGGTGGCCGTGGAGGTGGCGGTGGCGGTGGCGGTGGCGGTGGCGGTGGCGGTGGCGGTGGCGGTGGCGGTGGCGGTGGCGGTGGCGGTGGCGGTGGCGGTGGCGGTGGCGGTGGCGGTGGCGGTGGCGGTGGCGGTGGCGGTGGCGGTGGCGGTGGCGGTGGCGGTGGCGGTGGCGGTGGCGGTGGCGGTGGCGGTGGCGGTGGCGGTGGCGGTGGCGGTGGCGGTGGCGGTGGCGGTGGTGGTGGTGGTGGTGGTGGTGGTGGTGGTGGTGGTGGTGGTGGTGGTGGTGGTGGTGGTGGTGGTGGTGGTGGTGGTGGTGGTGGTGGTGGAAGGGGAGGGGGCAGGGGCGAGGAGAGAGGGCGAGGTGGGGAGCGGCCAGGGGTGGGGCTTGAGCCGCACTTTGAGCTTCTCGGCTTTCACTGCTCGCAGCATGGCCTGGGAGGGGGGGGGGGGGGTGCTGCAGAAGAGCAAAGGAATGGTAATAGTTTGAACCTGAGAAGGAAGAGGAAACGGAAGGGCAAGAGGAAAACAAATGTTAAAAAGACAATATCACAGACCTGTAAAACAGACCACTACCCCGCAAGCCTAACCGTGTGTCACAACAGTCACAGACCTGCAGCTTGCTCGTCTCTGCATCTGCAGCATTGCAGCTCAGCAGCGCAGCATTGCAGCTCTGCTTCGCCTTCCCTGCATTCTCACTCTCCTCCCCCTCCACCACGGTGCCTCCTTCCTCGTCCTCCCCTCCACTCCCATACCCCCCCGCTACACCCTCCCCCCACTGCCCGCTGCTGCACATGGCATCTCCTGCCTCCTCCACCAGATGGGCGATGTGCTGTGGCGGAGGGGGAGGAAGGAAGTCGATGGGTGTATTGTTAAGGCGCCGTGAAAATAGCCCATGCCTCGTCGTCTCCCCAACTCCCATACATCCCCCCCTACGCTTCCCCCCACCCACCTGTTGCTGCACATGATCAGCATTCCTAGCAATTCATCTCCTATGATCTCCCCCACTGGCCATTCACATTTCCAATCCGCTCACCCCCTTCTATTCTCCTGCACCACAGTCACACCTCCTCCACAGCCTCACCTCCTGCATCGCCCTAACCTCACTCTCTTCCCAGCCTCGCCTAATACATCACCACAGCCTCACTCACCTCCTGCATCGCCCCACCCTCACCCGCCTCGCGCATGGAGTCGTGTTGAGAGAAGAGCTCTCTCAGTCTCGTGCCTGCTCCCACAGGATAGCTGGCCGCCAGGGCTGATGCAGAGGGGACGCAAAGAAAGGGACAGGAGAGCGTGGGCGCATACCCCAGGACCAAACTGGGGTAGCACGCTACGATTACTCCTACCCCGTAGATTAGCTCCCGTTGTACGAGTTGTCTCCACACAGCACACAGCACGTAGCACACAGCACAAAGCCGGCTGCACAGCATATAGCACAGCACACCACAAAGCGCACTTGCTGAGCGCACCTGCTGTGGGGAGCGTCACCACCACAGATTCACAGAGGCAATGCCATGATGCAGAGGCAACGCCATGATGCAGAGGCAACGCCATGATGCAGAGGCAACGCCATGATGCAGAGGCAACGCCATGATGCAGAGGCAACGCCATGATGCAGAGGCAACGCCATGATGCAGAGGCAACGCCATGATGCAGAGACAACGCCATGATGCAGAGGCAATGCCATGATGCAGAGGCAACGCCATGATGCAGAGGCAACGCCATGATGCAGAGGCAACGCCATGATGCAGAGGCAACGCCATGATGCAGAGGCAACGCCATGATGCAGAGGCAACGCCATGATGCAGAGGCAACGCCATGATGCAGAGGCAACGCCATGATGCAGAGGCAACGCCATGATGCAGAGGCAATGCCATGATGCAGAGGCAACGCCATGATGCAGAGGCAACGCCATGATGCAGAGGCAACGCCATGATGCAGAGGCAACGCCATGATGCAGAGACAACGCCATGATGCAGAGGCAACGCCATGAAGCAGAGGCAACGCCATGATGCAGAGGCAACGCCATGATGCAGAGGCAACCCCATGATGCAGAGGCAACGCCATGATGCAGAGGCAACGCCATGATGCAGAGGCAATGCCATGATGCCGAGGCAACGCCATGATGCAGAGGCAACGCCATGATGCAGAGGCAACCCCATGATGCAGAGGCAACGCCATGATGCAAGGGCAACGCCATGATGCAGAGGCAACGCCATGATGCAGAGGCAACGCCATGATGCAGAGGCAACGCCATGATGCAGAGGCAACGCCATGATGCAGAGGCAACGCCATGATGCAGAGGCAACGCCATGATGCAGAGGCAACGCCATGATGCAGAGGCAACGCCATGATGCAGAGGCAATGCCATGATGCAGAGGCAACGCCATGATGCAGAGGCAACGCCATGATGCAGAGGCAACGCCATGATGCAGAGGCAACGCCATGATGCAGAGGCAACGCCATGATGCAGAGGCAATGCCATGATGGAGAGGCAACGCCATGATGCAGAGGCAACGCCATGATGCAGAGGCAATGCCATGATGCAGAGGCAACGCCATGATGCAGAGGCAACGCCATGATGCAGAGGCAACGCCATGATGCAGAGGCAACGCCATGATGCAGAGGCAACGCCATGATGCAGAGGCAACGCCATGATGCAGAGGCAACGCCATGATGCAGAGGCAACGCCATGATGCAGAGGCAACCCCATGATGCAGAGGCAACGCCATGATGCAGAGGCAACGCCATGATGCAGAGGCAATGCCATGATGCCGAGGCAACGCCATGATGCAGAGGCAACGCCATGATGCAGAGGCAACCCCATGATGCAGAGGCAACGCCATGATGCAGAGGCAATGCCATGATGCAGAGGCAATGTCATGATGCAGAGGCAATGCCATGATGCAGAGGCAATGCCATGATGCAGAGGCAATGCCATGATGCAGAGGCAACGCCATGATGCAGAGGCAATGCCATGATGCAGAGGCAATGCCATGATGCAGAGGCAATGCCATGATGCAGAGGCAATGCCATGATGCAGAGGCAATGCCATGATGCAGAGGCAACGCCATGATGCAGAGGCAATGCCATGATGCAGAGGCAATGCCATGATGCAGAGGCAACGCCATGACGCAGAGGCAATGCCATGATGCAGAGGCAATGCCATGATGCAGAGGCAATGCCATGCAGAGGCAACGCCATGATGCAGAGGCAACGCCATGATGCAGAGGCAACGCCATGATGCAGAGGCAATGCCATGATGCAGAGGCAACGCCATGATGCAGAGGCAACGCCATGATGCAGAGGCAATGCCATGATGCAGAGGCAACGCCATGATGCAGAGGCAACGCCATGATGCAGAGGCAACGCCATGATGCAGAGGCAACGCCATGATGCAGAGGCAACGCCATGATGCAGAGGCAACGCCATGATGCAGAGGCAACGCCATGATGCAGAGGCAACCCCATGATGCAGAGGCAACGCCATGATGCAGAGGCAACGCCATGATGCAGAGGCAATGCCATGATGCCGAGGCAACGCCATGATGCAGAGGCAACGCCATGATGCAGAGGCAACCCCATGATGCAGAGGCAACGCCATGATGCAGAGGCAACGCCATGATGCAGAGGCAACGCCATGATGCAGAGGCAACGCCATGATGCAGAGGCAACGCCATGATGCAGAGGCAACGCCATGATGCAGAGGCAACGCCATGATGCAGAGGCAACGCCATGATGCAGAGGCAACGCCATGATGCAGAGGCAACGCCATGATGCAGAGGCAATGCCATGATGCAGAGGCAACGCCATGATGCAGAGGCAACGCCATGATGCAGAGGCAACGCCATGATGCAGAGGCAACGCCATGATGCAGAGGCAACGCCATGATGCAGAGGCAACGCCATGATGCAGAGGCAATGCCATGATGCAGAGGCAACGCCATGATGCAGAGGCAACGCCATGATGCAGAGGCAACGCCGTGATGCAGAGGCAAGGCCATGATGCAGAGGCAACGCCATGATGCAGAGGCAACGCCATGATGCAGAGGCAACGCCATGATGCAGAGGCAACGCCATGATGCAGAGGCAACGCCATGATGCAGAGGCAACGCCATGATGCAGAGGCAACGCCATGATGCAGAGGCAACGCCATGATGCAGAGGCAACCCCATGATGCAGAGGCAACGCCATGATGCAGAGGCAACGCCATGATGCAGAGGCAATGCCATGATGCAGAGGCAACGCCATGATGCAGAGGCAACGCCATGATGCAGAGGCAACCCCATGATGCAGAGGCAACGCCATGATGCAGAGGCAACGCCATGATGCAGAGGCAATGCCATGATGCCGAGGCAACGCCATGATGCAGAGGCAATGCCATGATGCAGAGGCAACGCCATGATGCAGAGGCAACGCCATGATGCAGAGGCAATGCCATGATGCAGAGGCAATGCCATGATGCAGAGGCAATGCCATGATGCAGAGGCAATGCCATGATGCAGAGGCAATGCCATGATGCAGAGGCAATGCCATGATGCAGAGGCAATGCCATGATGCAGAGGCAATGCCATGATGCAGAGGCAACGCCATGATGCAGAGGCAACGCCATGATGCAGAGGCAACGCCATGATGCAGAGGCAACGCCATGATGCAGAGGCAATGCCATGATGCAGAGGCAACGCCATGATGCAGAGGCAACGCCATGATGCAGAGGCAACGCCATGATGCAGAGGCAACGCCATGATGCAGAGGCAACGCCATGATGCAGAGGCAATGCCATGATGCAGAGGCAACGCCATGATGCAGAGGCAACGCCATGATGCAGAGGCAATGCCATGATGCAGAGGCAACGCCATGATGCAGAGGCAACGCCATGATGCAGAGGCAACGCCATGATGCAGAGGCAACGCCATGATGCAGAGACAACGCCATGATGCAGAGGCAACGCCATGAAGCAGAGGCAACGCCATGATGCAGAGGCAACGCCATGATGCAGAGGCAACCCCATGATGCAGAGGCAACGCCATGATGCAGAGGCAACGCCATGATGCAGAGGCAATGCCATGATGCCGAGGCAACGCCATGATGCAGAGGCAACGCCATGATGCAGAGGCAACCCCATGATGCAGAGGCAACGCCATGATGCAAGGGCAACGCCATGATGCAGAGGCAACGCCATGATGCAGAGGCAACGCCATGATGCAGAGGCAACGCCATGATGCAGAGGCAACGCCATGATGCAGAGGCAACGCCATGATGCAGAGGCAACGCCATGATGCAGAGGCAACGCCATGATGCAGAGGCAACGCCATGATGCAGAGGCAATGCCATGATGCAGAGGCAACGCCATGATGCAGAGGCAACGCCATGATGCAGAGGCAACGCCATGATGCAGAGGCAACGCCATGATGCAGAGGCAACGCCATGATGCAGAGGCAATGCCATGATGGAGAGGCAACGCCATGATGCAGAGGCAACGCCATGATGCAGAGGCAATGCCATGATGCAGAGGCAACGCCATGATGCAGAGGCAACGCCATGATGCAGAGGCAACGCCATGATGCAGAGGCAACGCCATGATGCAGAGGCAACGCCATGATGCAGAGGCAACGCCATGATGCAGAGGCAACGCCATGATGCAGAGGCAACGCCATGATGCAGAGGCAACCCCATGATGCAGAGGCAACGCCATGATGCAGAGGCAACGCCATGATGCAGAGGCAATGCCATGATGCCGAGGCAACGCCATGATGCAGAGGCAACGCCATGATGCAGAGGCAACCCCATGATGCAGAGGCAACGCCATGATGCAGAGGCAATGCCATGATGCAGAGGCAATGTCATGATGCAGAGGCAATGCCATGATGCAGAGGCAATGCCATGATGCAGAGGCAATGCCATGATGCAGAGGCAACGCCATGATGCAGAGGCAATGCCATGATGCAGAGGCAATGCCATGATGCAGAGGCAATGCCATGATGCAGAGGCAATGCCATGATGCAGAGGCAATGCCATGATGCAGAGGCAACGCCATGATGCAGAGGCAATGCCATGATGCAGAGGCAATGCCATGATGCAGAGGCAACGCCATGACGCAGAGGCAATGCCATGATGCAGAGGCAATGCCATGATGCAGAGGCAATGCCATGCAGAGGCAACGCCATGATGCAGAGGCAATGCCATGATGCAGAGGCAATGCCATGATGCAGAGGCAACGCCATGATGCAGAGGCAATGCCATGATGCAGAGGCAATGCCATGATGCAGAGGCAATGCCATGATGCAGAGGCAATGCCATGATGCAGAGGCAACGCCACGATGCAGAGGCAATGCCATGATGCAGAGGCAATGCCATGATGCAGAGGCAATGCCATGATGCAGAGGCAATGCCATGATGCAGAGGCAATGCCATGATGCAGAGGCAATGCCATGATGCAGAGGCAATGCCATGATGCAGAGGCAATGCCATGATGCAGAGGCAATGCCATGATGCAGAGGCAATGCCATGATGCAGAGGCAATGCCATGATGCAGAGGCAATGCCATGATGCAGAGGCAATGCCATGATGCAGAGGCAATGCCATGATGCAGAGGCAATGCCATGATGCAGAGGCAATGCCATGATGCAGAGGCAATGCCATGATGCAGAGGCAATGCCATGATGCAGAGGCAACGCCATGATGCAGAGGCAATGCCATGATGCAGAGGCAATGCCATGATGCAGAG